TGTTCAGCTTTCATTATATTTAGCTTGTCCGGAGCTAGTCTTCCTTGCTTGGCGGAAACTGGAGGGGAGCAGCATGTCTTCATGGTGTGAGTTATTTTTCGGGCCAGCTCTAAAAGTTTAGGAGCGGACCGCCGCCAAAGCTGGGGATTCAACTAGTATTTTCTGGAACCTTTCAGTTGTCGCCGGAGAGATTAGACTACATTCGACCAATGGTGCTCTATCGCTCTGCCACTCATATACCGGGAAGTTTCTTTCATATTTTGACATCTCTTTCAAGTTTCCACTAATAAGTTGTATATTTCCAGATAGTTTATGCCAATGATCACTAGGTCAAAATCACCATCAAGGAAGCTGTCGCTTAAATTCGGAGTCAAGGGCCATTGTTTCCTGCCCGAATGTCGTGATCTGGGTCATACATGCCACCTGCAGTATAGCAGGCGAATTTTGTCGTCTTGGCTTGGCCTTTGTACTTGGTGCTATACTGAGTGCAGGTTTAGTATCAGCCAAGAGGTCTGTTGCTGCTTATATTTTGACTGAACTGGAGTACACATATCTTCTAGTATTTCTTCGCGTTTATAATTGTGACCTAACGTTGCGATTACTCGACATCCGCAACGTAATTCAAAAGGCACTTGCGAAGGAATACGATAGTGTATATTGCAGCAATCAATATTCAAAAATCGAGCGAGTACGAAAGGTATCAATTGTTAACATGCAAGATTTAGAGTAATAAACAAATCAAGGTACAATTTCACAATGAAAGTATAGTACTATGATGAGTAATAAAACGGGTTACTACAGGTCCATGCCAGTCTTTTTATGCTTGATGTAGAGTAGGCAACTGACCTAACATTCCTTCATAGTAGTTGCTACCTGGGAAACGGTCAATCTTTTCTCTGCTGCTTGTGAGGTAATCCGGGCCAGTCACATGCTTGTATTCATTTTGTTGGCTGTAGGCGAAACCGCCAGGGGTACCCACATGATTATACTGTCGATGTAGTTGGCCAGGGTCTCCTCTTCGGCCCAGAACGCGGCTTGTCAGGAAATCTACTTCATCTACACTGTTAACTGTATTTGTTCCAGTCGTGCTGATAACCTAACGTTGTGAGGTTACTGGAACTTTCTTCATAGTCATTTGGTGCGCATGCCCATCTGCAAGTCATCTCATCTCCAATATTTGGTCCGTAATGCAGGCTGAACATTCAATGGAGGAGTCAGGATCTTGAGTGCCCAGTGCCTGTTGCATGTAGTCTGTGACGACTTTCGTCCAGCCTTGTTTCGGTACAATCTCTTTCACTGTACCGTCCACTACAAACTGTTGCGAGCAGCTCAAGAACTGTGATGGGGATCTGCCTTCTGTATTCTCCCACTGAAGCAGCCGTTATAAACACTGGTTTTCTGACACATAGGCGTATTTTATCACTCTGCTTGTTTGGGAGTTGTAATATAAGTCAAGTACCTCCTTGCTAGTCTCACACCGTAGTTGAGTAGGCCTGTCACCATACCTGGTGGTTTCAGATTCAGTGCCATACTGATCAAAGTAGTGCTCTGGTTGAGCAAACTACGGCTCCGGGTCATGTCGACATAATTCATTTAGTCTAACTTTGAAGGTTACTCAAAGAATCCACCTACGCGGAGGCAGTTTTTGAAGTCAGAATTTATGTTTGTCAAACTGGAAATTATAATGAATAAAAATTATATAAAGCTGTTTATGCAAGTGAAGAAACATCCGGCAAACAATTAAAAATATAAATGTGTGAATTACAGTCAGTTATTACAAAAATAAAAGTCAAAATGTGAACTAAACTAGCTCATCAGTTTAGAAACCAACTTTTCTACCAAAATAATTATTCAAATCACTGACCGACAGCTCGTAATGTTGTAGATGACTAATGGTGATTTCAAACCTTGATTTTCATAAGCATGGGAGAGGGTAAGTGAAGCGGGAAACGTAGTCAGGCACACAAGAGGGCTATTCAGCACTCATGGTCAGCTTACTTCATCTGAGTGGCCATATCGTAATGTGTTGTAGAAAGCCTACGAAACCACAGTCACTCGGTTGCTAGGTTGGTCTTAACGGCATCCTGACTAGAGAGTGAGAATACTAAGTTTACGGCAGTTCAGCAGTTTTCACATGAATTGAATAATGAGAATTCATTTATGAATAAATACAGGTTCCTCGTTACACCGAGAGACAAATAGCGATCACTCTCTATAGTTTCCCTAGAGGTTGATTTAAGCCATTGTCAAAACCCAGTCCTTACGGGATATCGCTGTTGGAGAATTAAGAACTTTTCATGACATTAGTTATTCCAGCGGCATGCGATATCGGGCAAACCCAAAGCTCTGAAGTCGGCCTTCTTTAGAGGGTTACCAGGATGGCCCATTATTTGATTGTGAGCTCCTGTCTAGTGAGGTTTACTGAAAACGAGTGTGCTCTTCAAAACCGCAGCTGCCGTATGTGTAGACGACTAAGTAGTCTGCTGGGGAGGCCGAAAATATTGAATCAGAAGCCATAATGAATGAAACGTCCAGCACACGAAGTTGTTAATGGACTGGCATCAGTCAGTCTTTACTATTAGCTTAAGTCACGCCCACGCCAAATATTCTAGGAAACCAGTTATTTGAGCTGCCTGAATGACTTTGAACTCATTTCCAGTTGGTTTCAACTAGATATGACGCTCATGATTGATGTGTGCCTATCAATCCTGCTAGACCTGAGCAATAGCCACACTACCTGCTGACTCTTCAGCCTGACACATTTAACCTGATGGCCAGGCTGCGCTTAACATCGCCCCGACAAACAAAAGGGAAATTTAACATTAAGTGCATCTAAAAGATGTATTATTGATGATGATTTGGATAGAGTGTACAGGCAAAAATCACGCACAAACGAAACTGCAGAGCTCCTGTCTCCTGAAAGTTATGTTGACCAGCATGTGTCTCAATCCGCAAGGATAAACAAACTGATCGCAGATGGTGAGACGGCTGAGGTTCAATAGAGTCGACGAACTTTTCTGATCCCCTACAGTATCATCGAGTGATAGTCTGTTGCATAAGAGCCAACAGAAAGTAATTTTACGTGTAATATAAATCGCCACTAATTGACGGTGCACGCATTTAATATTCTTAAAGTCCGAGGGCTTGAGGAAAAGTGCACACATTGGCTTTGGCGCATGGTCTGTAGGCTACAGCAAGAAAAGAGTGAAGGAACCACATACATGCATTGTGTACACTGTTCCCTTTAGGTCTGATAAAGATTAGGCAACGGTTGAAGTATGTATAACAAATGCAGTAGATCTCTTAGGAGATGAAGTCTCACATTAGGAAGCACATTTGTACCACCCGGACCATGCATTTGGTATTAACAGACGTCTGAACTGTAGTCGAAAACTGCAACCCTGCTTCCTGAGAAACAAACCCACACGCCGCTGGGGAATTCAGTGATCCTTCCCCTATTAGCAAGTGTTCACTATCGATCCAGGAACGAGGACAGCACAGGACACGAAAATCCTCCATCGTGCCACAGACAGCTGATAAAACATATATTGTGACCCTCGGGCAGAAGTTTGGTGTCTGATTTCGGGTTTAAAAGACAGTTGTCATGGATTTTCATGACTGATGACTTCATGGCTGATGACTTCATAACTGGTTAAATCTTCTTTAGAAAGATATACTATGTTGGCTGATAGTAAGCAGCAAAAATAAAAATAGTCTGGGCATGCTAATGATCAAGAGGATAATATCAACCCACTAAATTTAGTTTAACGCCTGTCAGTGTCAGCCAAACTATTCGGATATCAGATTGCCTTAGATTTATAGGGTTGGCCTATAAATTATACAGTTCTTAATGACACATGGATCCTGAGTTTCTCCAGTACCAAGGAGGTTAGCCGGGGACGAACTAAAGGTATTAAAGCGGGGGTCCAGCGACACTCGAGGAACATCCACCTATTCACTAATCAATGGCGATATTGCGCCCAAGAAGTAGCAAGTTTACCATTTTTATCTTAGTGAAATAAGTAAGTAGCTGATAACTGGGAAAACCACTGGATACTACACGTTTGTTACTAATTTTCTGTTCTGGTTAAGGGAATCCATCACGCTTAGTCTATTAGGCTGTTTTTTTACTAGATGGACATTTCCTGGATTGTGTTGTAGGAAGTACGTTATAGATGATACGTCTGTCCTTCCTCCTAAAATCAAAAGCGAATCTCCATATTCCTTAACATCAACCTGTTCTGTGTATAAATGTTTTGTTTTGAAGTCAGCTGAAAAACAACTGAAAACGTAACGCACTACCTGCTACGAATTTTAATTTCTTTCTACATATGATGCACCACTTTTTCTCGATGTAATCATACTTATATCAATAATCATACTGAATTTTGCCAACATCTAGAGTGGAAACTGATGGAGTATACTTAGCTTATTATAACTCTGAAAGCAGTAATTTAATGATTCTACAGTGCCAGGTTAATAGCGAGCTCCTGCTTACTCCAGTCATTCAAAAAATTTTGCATGCTTTTCATCAGGCTTATCCATGAAGTAACTTCCTTCCAAATTCAACAATATGTATTACCACCTCAATGACCTCTAAAACAGTCTGTACTATCCTATGGTTTTTCTAGTTCTAAGAGAGCCCCAACATTACGCTTGTCCTATAGTAACATACATGATAAGTAAAGCCAATCAGAAATATGTGGTGAAAAATCCAATTAGCACCAGCGTTATGGCACGTCGGTCGGTTTATTCAACATTTACAAATACATTAAAATAATTAATATTGTGACAGGAAAGTCAAGAAAAATATAGGTCACTGTAATTTACAAAGCATACACAAATGTGCTGATATTGCACTATATTTCCATATGAAATTCTTATCAATATGGGACCAGCACAGATTGTTTCAATTAGTCAACATCACGCATAGAATGCTGCGCAAAGTATACACCATGCGTTACTTGAATGTAGCGTAGCGACAGTTATATGCAGTAAAGATGTCTGATAAGTCAAATAACCCTCGTTGTTTTTCACAACCGCTTATACACTCAAATGGATTAAATAACTTAACACCTGTCTCACTTCCAGCTCTTAGTTCACTGAACGATCATACTGGAAACAGTTTAAACTTGGATAAAGTCCATCTTTCACTCAGTGTATTACGATTAGATCCAGCTGATCGTGCAGTAATAAAGATTGCCGGTAAGTGATCGTTTTTTTAACTATCTTTTATCTGAAAAAAGCATAAAACGGGCACTGGTAGAGCATAACTCCATTATGGATAGGATTTTATTTGATAAATCACACAATGTTATACAGTAATATTAACTGATGAAGTTTCCAGCACAAAATATTGCTCATAATCATATTAAGTTACAGACACAACTTTTTCCTTCATTTATATACATGTGTGTAATCGATTAGATATTGGAATAAAACTCAATATGAGATAATGCACATTCAGAAATAATAATATGAGTGTTATTGATCAATTACAATCAGATGGGAAATAAGACGAGTGTTTTTATATTCAACGTCATCAGTTAATACTATTGTACAATACTGTGTAATTTATCATACTTGATCCTGCCTGTAAAAATGGCATGCATTTTCATGTAAATTTATGTTTATATGAAAATATAAAAATTATTATTATAAAATCTTATTCATAATGGAGTTACTCACATTTTGTTTATGGCATTTGGTAATTAATACGTATGTGGCTTCAGTTCACTACGTGAGTTTGATTAGGCGGAAATAACGCCAGTGATTTGTTTGCTGTTATTATTATTCTACTTTTAAATGTCTTGATATTCCACTTTAAAGTTATACGAAAAAAAACAGTATACAGATATTAGTGGGAGAAAACACACAGATGTAGTCTTATATCTGGTATTTATTATTTGGTTTGAGCATAAGTTTTGTTTGCTTTCCGAAATAAATTCAGCTTTTTTTCTTGACGTTACTAAGCCCACCAATCGAGAAAAATAAGCGACTTTATCCTATAAGTGAGCTTATGCCGGTGAAAAGATTATTTCCTGTGCTTCTACTATCCTAATAGTGAATGTATCATATCACAGTGACTTTTTATCTTGATTAGTAACTTGAAAATGTAGAAGTAACGAATGAAGGTCTCTTAGTTAAAGACTTCATGCAATTGAACCTATGCGAATGTACTGAATTTTCGACTGTCCACTGAAAAACAGGGGAAAATGTCTGTGTAAAACCTCCTAAAAATTCGTAAGAAATTTTTAAATTTAATTCTTAGCAACAAATGTGACACTTAGTATTGTTACTCATTTTAAAATCCAAACTTTGTTTTCCCAGTGGTATGATTAATTTCAGCGTGAATGTCGGGGAAAATCAGAATCTTTGAAAATTACGGGTCACTGAATGGATGCTTCGTCCTAGTTTTGAGGTCTCCAGCAGTGCTGGCTGGATAGTAATCAGATCGTACTCTTAAGGTCTTCGGTTAGGCTGAATACTTTTGAAGATTCCCAAAGTGAAAGGAAACATCCGTCCAGTGTCCTTTGGTTTTCAGTGATTGTTTAACTGATATTTTAAGTGAGCATGTAAGTAGTGGCTTAAGTCGCTACCTAGTCGCAGCTTTTATCTACAAGTAGCCATGCTCATTGTAAAATCACATTGTAGTGGTTGAATTAACAGAGTTGATAAGTAGCGTGAATTCTCTTGGAGACGCAGAGTAAATGACACTTTAAACATGAGTCAAGAAATAGTATGTTGGAAAATGTTTCTGCTGTTTTATGTCGGTAGATTTTACATATTCTGCTAGTTTCCAATTCATTTATAAATAAAAATGGCTTGATCCACCTCTGTGTCAGGTTCTATGTCGATTTCATAGTTTTTCCCCCTCCTCCTCCAGTCTTTGGTTAATGGATCGTTCAGCTCACTCATGACGTAGAGACATCGAATATTTTTATTCCGAAGAAAAAATTCATTTCGATATTTTTTCCTTTAAAGAATACACTTTTTGTTGTATTACTTATAGAGAGGTATAGGTGATTAGCTTTAGTGCTTAACCTTCTGCCAGTGGACCTCAAATTTGAATCATCCACTCATTTCCTCGCGGACTACTGGGTAGTACCACCAGCCACTGCACATTATGTGGCTTGTAGGCTTGGCCGTTGAAAATATAATCCCGGCAACTGATTTCGAACTGATGAACTGACTATTACTTACAGATTATCACCCTGGTGAGTGAATATTGCAAACAGTATTCATGGCGGACATAGTTCGCAAACTGATAGCATATAAATCAGTATATCATCATCACTTTTTTCTAATGGTAGAAATACGTATGCATATGCATATCACTTCTCTACATAACTTATCTGTTCGTATTTGAATTTTAGATGAGCGTGATGCAATACAAAAGAAGGCTTTCACAAACTGGGTCAACCAACATTTAGTAAAGGTAATCATCAGTATTATGTTTTATTTATGCTATATTGCAAGTGGTAGTTACTGGAGACAGTTTCGAACTTAAAATAGAGGTTATTAAAATTATCTCTGGAATGATTATACTGTGGTTCGAACTCTATTTCAGTGATTTTTATGTAACTGGGTATGCAGTCGCTTGCATACATTGTTGTGTAATTTGTATGTTTGCTCTGTGTACGATGGTAACTGCACTTGAGTATTGTTAATAATGCTATCTATTTATTCTAATGTCTTCACACAACTCACTCACTAAGTGTCATGATCCTATTTGGACATTTATGTCATAGTATATTTGACAGTCTAAAGTTGTGCAAATATCAGTCGTCGTACAAGTATCCAATTTGAATTTTCGTAATTGTTGAACTGATAATCAACACATAACCTCAAAAATGGATGTTTTCTGATCAGAGCAACACAATTTGATACAGATTTCTACGAGCAAAGTTTTGCATACATGAAGTCAGACATTTTTTAAATAATCACTGAGGGAAGCTTCACTATGATAAAAGCATCGGTGTTGACAGCAATTAATACATTATGTTGATCAGATAAGAAAATATGATAGAGAGAGGAACAAGACGTAGAATAATGGAATGGTGAATGTTTTGAAGAATATCAGTTGTGAATTCTTCTGAACTTGTTGTTGATTCTTAGCTAACACTTGGTTTCGGATATCTAGTGAAGCGCATCTACAAAACCCGCAATTTTCTTTGTAGTGTTTGAGTAGATAAGTCATTTCGCATACAAAATTGCATGTGCTTTAAATTATATCATGTGAGTATCACTGTTCTTACATAGTTCCCTATTTCTGTTTGTTACTAAGTATACCCTATGAAGAATCAGTGTTTCACCGTAGGAGCGTATATGACCAGACATCGGTCATTTGTTCAGTACAATAAAACACCAGTAATCATAATCACCTATAACTAACAAATACACATTTCACAGGGGTTGGTTATCGTGGTCTAAAAGCCTAGTGAATAGCAGTTTTCTGTTTGGAACGACCAGTCTGGAGTTCTAGTTCCAGCAAAATACCATCACTTACTAAATTTCAAGTACATACAGGCAGCAAGTCCCAAATAAAAGGAAGTGCACGTCACATATTACACCATGAGCCGCCACCTACCGATTGCTATTAGTAAAGCTCTCCTCACTTTTTTCCTTTATTCAAGAATTAATTAAATGCATGGAAACTTCACTGGTTTATTGAGTCCTTCATTGTGATTAAACTTGTCTTAGTGATGTGCTCCTCTTAACTACACACTACATAAGCATACACCCAGTTATGACGTAGCTACAGTCGGTGAAATCCTAACATCATGTTTTTACTTGTACTAACAAATATGATGTGTACAGTAGTTAAGCTGTGCGTACTATTTTTCACTCAACTACGTCATTGCCTCTTAAGTTAGGTTTCATGACAAACCGATATCAGTAAGACCATCCTTGAAAACTACTAAACGCGTAACAGATGCTTCGTTCTAGTTTTGGTAATATTCAGAAACGCTCAACCAAAACACCATCGATGATCAAACCAAAGGTAAGCATATTTACCGTCCATTCAGTAGGTTAGAATCCAGTGGCTCGTAAATATTAACGTTTCACTTCAGGACGTAGTGCCACCATCATGCAGTGTCATTGAAGATTATCTGTCCACCAACCGAACATGGTGGACCCTACCAATCACTACTTCTTATATCACCACGAGGAGGTCCACCGTTTAATCAGTCATGAATGAACAGTGGATTAATTACCAAGTGTTAATTTGTAGGGATTTGATTTATTTTGAGGTAGATTTCATCGTTTCGTGTTTATAGCTTGACAGTTTAACGGAAAATAGTTTTACTAGGTAAAAAAAATCATAACTGCTACACTAGGCATTCAGTTGTTAATATGAATTATTGATCTCGTGGTCAACACTAAAATATTTGAGTGAGAATTATATATTTATGTATATATAAACTAAAATACCAAGTGTGCATTTAAGTGCCACAATAAAACATGCTTATTTGTGTGAGTAGTGTTTATCTGTTTGTATGTATGAATGTGTTCATTTAAACAGCCATTTTCTTTGACAATCACAAGAACTTTCAAAGTGTGTTTAGTTATTTCTTTTTTAATCATTAATTCAGTATTAAGGTTTCTTATGGATGCACTACATGTGACTACATACTCCTGTTTATCGATCACAAATCAAAATAAATCAAAAAAATATCCAAACTTTATTTAGTTGTAAGTAGTTTTAATGATCAGCATTTATTTGTTTGCAACTGAACCGTAAAAAGCCATTGGTCTGATTGTAGTCATCATGACTATCCATTTTCTAGTCTTCGTGACTCTTTTTCCATATATAATGGATACCTTGGTAAGACCTCTGTCTAACTATCCTAGATCTCAGTTATTACATTATAACAAACATATTAAGCTAATAACTCATTCAGAACAGTATTTACGAGATAAAAATGAATTCATTTTATTTCATAGAATTTTCACTAGCTATATGAGGCCTAAGTAATTGAATGAAAAAGTAATCATCTACTTTAAATGTTGAATCCTTTGATTCTTTAAAGAAAAGAAAAACATGTGTTTTGTGAAGAAATATCATATGTTAGAAAAGTATTTACAAAGAAGGCCAGTGTTGTTTCGTGACAAAGTTCATTTTAACTTCAATCAGATCTTCACAGACTGAAAATGAATAAATTATTCCTTACTTACAAACTTTCTCTTAAAGTAGGAAAAGGAATGTTCGTGAAATATGTGAAGCATAGCCAAATGTAAATAAAGAAAATTTCGCGATCATAGGAAAAACCGAATCCACTCAAATGTTAGACATTTGGGCTAGATTCTAAATCTTTCAAATGAATATTAAATGCGTTAGCTGAATAATTCGTTGCTACATTTTTCTATAGTCTTGAGCGCCTTTATTTTTTCGATAATCTGCAGAAAATTTCACTACTTTCAGTGGGGTGAAAGTTGTATTCTATTTAACGTTTTCAGTAGAGATGTCTGTTTGTTATAATTTTGTCGATAAAGTTTACCAATGGTTTGTGTTTCAAAAACGGTGAAATATGATTGCAATATCGTTGAAGAATCACTGTCTTCGCGTACAAAACAGATTAGTTCAATATCTGTTCTTGCAGTCATAATATTTTGTGTTTCCGGAAATTCCCGACTTCTTTTATCCTATCCATTTCTTATGTAATATCTGTTGTTTGGAATCCCAATGACTAACAATTCACTGATTGATTGTTGAGTTATTATTTTTTTCTAGAGTGGATCATCTCCATCAGATTTCTGTTATATGCCGATGAGTATCCGCTTTTCTTAACAACCACTCAGTTTCATATATATTCATATATGAAAAAAACACTAAACACATCGACGAAAGAAAACTGATCATTACTGCGATGGTACAGTAATTGAAGTTACTGAAAAGAGTCTGTTCTCTAGATCGCTTATTTTCTCTTGTTAATTTTTTTATAATTAGATTGTAGTTAATGTTGGTCTGCATGGGAGTTAAGGATCCACACTTGGTCCTATCTCAGTCCAACATATATCAATCAACAGAAAATATAAAGTAACTTAAACAAATATATAGATGGAGGCAGATCTCTTAAGTTACTTAGTTCATGACAGTAACTTTCTGTTGTTTGTGTTAAACCTGTATGTGTGTATGTATGTATGAGATTTACCTATTCTAATAAAAGTATATTAAGAAGAAAACTATGACTCGTTGGACTAAACGTCTGACATTCAACCAGTGATGAATTTTAATCCCACATCATTAAGTGAAACTTACGTTGGCAAGTAGTATCATCATCCGTCACACCATAAGTGTGGCTAATTGCTAAGCTACATTTATTGAAACATTCTTTATGAGTTTATGCTATATGCATTTTGAATATATACGATTTTTACCTTGCTTTAGTGATTGATTTTTGCTATTCCAAAAATCTTACGAACCAGCAGTCGAAAGTTTTTTGTTCAGTGAAGAATTGTATAAACTGATGATTGCCTTTCTTTAATTGTATGCTGCTGGATTCTAGTCTATCGTTGAATTCCTTATACTGACTATTCATATACACTTCCATGTGTTTGAATCACTACACTAATTATCTGCATACATGAATACTTTTTCTTCATTAAATAATAAAAGTAGCTGGGCTTAAAAGGCTTTGTGTGGTAATTCTAATTTCCTCTTTTTTTTTGTTAAATCTCATACATTTTCATTATGATGATCATGATTGTTGTTTAATAAGGCTAAACATGTGCGTAGATGATTAACACGAATCACATTGCTTATTAAAATATTCTTTCACAAGAAATTTGCATATTCTGTCGCCATGTTTCTCTCTGTCCCTCTCTCTCTCTCTCTCTCTATATATATATATATATATATATATATATATATATGCAAATATTTTGACCACGAATAAGCACAAGGTGTGTTTTTGGCACAGTTTTTTGCAAAGCAAGTAAAAAGAGAAAAAATGAAGGAAGATAATTCATTTGGTCTCTTTCATTGTTTTTTCTTCGATTGTGTAATTATTTCGCTCTACAGACTGGTGGTCGTAAAATGGATATTGTAATGCAGTACTTAATAAATTAAGTTAGGGTCACAGTTGGTTGGAATGAAGGCTGGAAGAATAAATGCCTTAAGGGTCATCTTGACTGTCGGCCATCCTCACACTGTATATCTGTCATTGCGATTTATCACTTTAGGGCGTCGATAGCACTGGTTGTCTGTCTGTCTGTTTCCAACATAAAACTTCGCACAGATGTTAAGCATTTCAAGTCGCTACACCCCATGTAGCACACAAAGCAAGAGAAGAAATATGAAAGAAACAGTAAACAGGGATTTAAGACAAAAGGAATAGTAATAACGAAGAATAACAGAGTTCTATTGGGTATTATAAGTCACAAGGAGTAGATGCATCTGCGTCAGCCATTGAGAACGGTTTTGATCCATATCGC